AGAAACCTAAATAATACAACTCAAGTTGGAATAACATTGCTGGGGGAGCAGTTAAGTCGGTGTAAAACCACAATGTCAAGTTGTTAGAAGTATTATTTTGGATTGTGCAGGCATAAAAGAAAACCAAGATGTGGAAGATGCAATCAATTTAGCCATATTACAAAGGACTGTGATATTCATAGTCACAAACAATTAGCTAACTATGCAAAGAAAGAAGGAGTAATCACAGGAACTATATTCTATGCTTGTCATTCTGTAAGTTTACAAGATAGAAATGAATGGTTCGTGGACAATGTTTGCAGCAACCATATGACATCTCAAAGAATCTGAACTAATCTACATTGATAGAACTATGACTTGGAAAGTTAAGATGGGCTGTGGAGATCTCGTACAAGCAACTTGAAAAGGCACTCTAGTGGTAGAGACTCAGCTTGGGAAGAAATATATAAAAGAAGTGTTGCTTGTTCCAGGATTGGATGAAAACTTATTAAGTGTAGGGCAAATAATGGAGCATAGATATTATATCCTTTTTGGGGGTAATAAAGCAATGATATTTGATGATGAAAGCCTCAACAATGTTATAGAAATAATGATCATGGGAGAAATCGATGCTTTCCTTTTTCACTTAAATCCATGACATTTGCAGCAAGGAAAACATTAGTGATTGAAGATTTTTGGATATGGCATAGAAGATTGGGACATTTGAACTTTACTAGTATGAAGAAGATACAGCAGATAGAGATGGTATATGCACTACATGTGTTGACAGAAGTGAAGGATGTGTGTGCAGGCTGTGTTTTAGGAAAACATCACAGGGAAAAATTTGATAAAGAACAAGCGTGGAGAGCAAGCTATCCATTGGAGCTAATATACATAGACCTATGTGGACCAATGCAGAATGAATTAATTGGGGGGAATAGATACTTCATCACATTCATTGATGACTTCTCAAGAATATGCTTGGTATACTTTCTCATAAATAAATCTGATACACTTAATATGTTTGAGAAATTCAAAACCCTTGTTGAACTGCAAAGTGGATATAAATTGAAGAAGCTAAGGAGTGATAGAGGTCGTGAATACACCTCAGATGAATTTTAAAACTTTTGTGCAAACCTGGGAATGGAGAGGCAACTAACTATTGCATGCTCTCCTCAATAGAATGGAGTTACAGAGAGAAGAAACAGAATAATTTACGAGATAGTGAGGTCTATGTTAACTGAGAAAGAAATGCTAGTGATTTTCTGGGTAGAAGTTGTAAGCACAGCCGTGTATCTTCAGAACAGATATTTTATAACATTTATGACAAAAAAAAAACTCTCTTTAAAGCATTTACAGGAAGAAAGTTAGGAATCAAGCATCTGAAGGTGTTCGGTTGCATATGTTACACTCATGTTCCATCATCATTGAGGCATAAATTTGATAGTAAGGCTGAAAATGGAGCTTTTATGGGATATAGAAGTTGTGAAAAAGGGTATAGAGTGTATGATTTGAAATTTGAGAAGATGGTTTTCTTAAGAAGTGTGATTTTTAGTAAGGATAAGTTATGGAGTTAGGAAAAAAATTAGATGAAATCAATACCAATGCCTCTCAACCTTGAAGGAGATGAAGTTGAAGGTGAAAACTCAGAAAAACAACTCGATGCAATTCAACTTGATAATGCTAGAGATTCTCTTCTAAACTCTACAATTGGCGAGTTAGTTGAGAATATAGGTAGGGATAGCAGTCAACACTCCACACCTAGTTCTACTTCAGTAAAGTTAAAGACCTTGGAAGATATATATCTAAGGTGTCATATGTGCATCATAGAACCTGAGAATTATCAAGAAATAGCTGGAGATATAACTTGGTAAGAAGCTATGAAGGAAGAACTAGAAATGATAGAGAAGAACAATACTTAGGAATTGGTGAAGAGACCGATTGACAAACCTGTTATAGGAATGAAATGGGTGTACAAAACCAAACTTTATCTAGATAGAATAGTTCAAAAACACAAGGCCTGACTTATAGCAAAAGGATATACATAGAAATCTGGAATTGATAACAATGAAACCTTTGCACCAACAGCAAGGTTAGATACAATTCGAACTCTTAAATAGCAAGGTTAGATACAATTTAAACTCTTATTGCACTTGCAACATAAAAGGGATCGAAGTTGTTCCAGTTGGATGTTAAGTCAACATTCCTAAATGGTGTGCTTGAATAAGATGTATATGTTGAACAGCCTGAGAGTTTTGAAGTCAAAGATGCAGGGCACAAGATTTACAAATTAAGAAAATCATTATATGGACTTAAGTAGGAGCCAAGGACCTGGTATAGTGAGATTGATATATATCTCTCAATGTACAAATTTAATTGAAGCACAAGTGAAGCTATTTTATACACAAGGTCTGATCATGAAGGGAATTTGATTATTGTCTCAATCTATGTTAATGATATTATTTATACCAATAGCAATGAGGGGATGCTTAGTGAGTTTAGAATATAAATGATGCAGAGTTATGAGATGTCTTATCTTAAACTTCTTCATCGTTTTTAAAGGATGAGAATACTGCAAACTAATCAAATAGTATTCATTCATCAAAGCAAGCATGTCAAATCCTTGGTTAGGAAGTTTGGGTTTAAGGACTACAAACCAGTCTCGATTCATTTATCCACTGATAAGAAACTAAAGAAGGTGGATGAGAGTGTGTTAGTTGATGAAGGGCTCTACAGGAAAATAGTAGGAAGCTTATTATATTTAACAGCAACAAGACCTGATCTAATGTATGCTACTAGCTTGCTATCATGATTTATGAATAGTCCTACCAAAATGCATATAGGAGCTGCAAGAAGGGTTCTAAGATATGTGCAAGAGACTCTTAACTATAACATTGAGTATGTGAGAGATCAAACAACCACTCTTATTAGATTATATGATCCAGATTGGTCAAGAAGTGAAGATGATAATAGGAGCACTTCTGGTTATGTATTTAGTTTTGAAAGTGGAGCATTCTCTTAGGCCTTTGTGAAACAGAATACAATGGCATTATCAACAACGAAAGCTGAGTATGTCTCAGCATTTGAAGCAACAACACAAGCCATTTGGTTAAGATTTGTTCTTGATGATTTTGGTGAAATGTGATTAGTACTTAAAAGTGCATCTTTATCAAGGTTTTATATCATCATTTTGCACTTGAAGTATCAATAACTCCTTAACTAAAGCATGTTTTGCAATAACAAGTCTGATACTATAAGATACCTTTGATTTATAGTAAATGTTCATCTTAAATGCAAACCTATCATATAAATGAAAGGATTGATTAATGAGTTTAAATACTAAATTAATAGGACAAAAAGAGGGCCAAACATAGAAAAATTAATAGGACAAAAAGAGGGTCAAACATAGAAAAGAGATATTGGTTCAATCCAAATATTAGTTCAGTCCAAATTGGAACACTGTTCGGTTATTGGGTCATATCTGGAGTTGAAAATCTTGGATTTAGTTCTGCTCTATATGAATGAAAAGCTAAGACATATGCTTAAAACTTTCATGGAAGTCCAAGATTTAAAAAGGTCATCTTCAGGTCCAAATTGTAGCAATAATAGAGAAGTACAAAGTTGTCCTGCAGCCCAAACATTGTTCAGTGTTCAGCCCATATCTCGAGTTTTAAAAGATCAAATGCATCGATTCTTTTTTTTTTTAAGCTGAGACAATTTCCTAGAACTTTCATGGTTTAAGTCTATTCAAAGTCTGATATTAGTAATGACATTTTGTTCAGATAAGAAGATAAGGATTGTCAC